TCCTTAGCTAAGTTCTAAGGTTGTGTGATGTATGAACTGTTATAGGGGAGCAGCTTCCCACTGGTTTATATTTTATTTGGTTATGTTGGTCTGCGTTGGATTCTCTCTAGTCTCATATGTTGTTCTGTACCGGCTCTTTGAGACATTGCAAGTCTCTCCTTATTAATAATCAATATTGTCATTTGTTTTGGCTCATGCAAAAATTCTGTGGCTTCCAAGGATTTGCATTTGTCCAATTTTCTTGTAGAGATATGGCATTGGCCGCTATTCAGGCTTTGAATGGAATATATGTGATGAAAGTAAGCCTTTTAGCATTCGTATATTATAACTTTTAATTTTGTATTACAAACGTATACCTAAGATAATCTGTGATCAGGGATGCGATCAACCTTTGATAGTCCGATTCGCAGATCCTAAGAAACCGAGGCTAGGTGGCTCAAGGTACCATATGGTTCGAAAAGCTTATTACTTATTGCTTCAGCTTAATTGTTTCAATGTTATCCCCATTAGTTTTTCAAGTGCATGTTTTCATTGTTATCTGGTTAGTTCTGCATGTGCATTTTATTAAGCGAGCACCAAACTAACATGTGACTCTATTGAGTCTGGGCTCTTTATTTCACTGACGAATAGAATAACACACGCAAACACACAAACATGTGTGTGTGTGTTTGTGTGTGCTTTATTATATTATCTGCGTTGACATCTGTCTCTTTCTGATTTCATTTTTCAGATATTCTTCATCTTTGTATGTTCATGAGCTTGTTGCTTCATTTATTTTGTCCAGGCCTCACCAATATCCGAATGATCCGTCTAATGGGCATATGCTGTCTAATGAAATGCTACAAATGAAGGTAATTTTTCCTGAACATCGATAAAGACCAACACATTACATTCATCAAATTTGAAAATGAGTGTTTGAAATGTGAGTAAAAAAGTCTTGCTCGCTCACCAGGTTTCATCCACAGCGTAATGATCTTGATTACTCTGGGCTCTTAATGATATACAGATGCTGTGACTATAGTTTTCTGGGGACTCATCTAGTCATATTATTGATTTATCGTGAAGCTAGGGCTCAGATCACATCACACCTTAAAGAACCGAACAATATGAAAATCTCGTGTTATTTTCTGGAAAATAAAAATAATAGAATTGTATAGGCATAGATTGCAGGAGATTTCACTTGTTGTCTTATCTTGCTATGAGAATGGGAAAATGTCGATTGAGGGATATTTTTGTTCTATAAAAATTTTAGCTTGTCTGTGACTAAGCTATCCATCTTATTATATAACAACGCTGATTATATTTATACATAATTACATATATGCAGTTTTCACCTTCCGTGTGCAAACCAACAATGGCGGGTAGGAATAAATCTCAATCATTCAATTCAATTTCCGAGTCAGAACGTTCAGTAGAATGTGACTGGAGCGAACACGTTTCACCTGATGGAGATTTGTATTATTACAATTGTACAACATGTGA